CCCTAATGTTTGGAAAATTTTGAAAAATCCCTAGTAAATTACTTATGGGTCAAAAATATATCAAAATGGGATTTTAAAATGAGTGATACAATTTGTATGTATAATTTATGGGACACAGCTAAAGCAATGTTTGGATGTAGATTTATTGTCTTAACCACTTTATTAGAAAAGAAAAAAACGTGTAAGATTCCACAGCCGAGCTGCATACCTTAACAGTTGGAGAAATAACACCTAATAAATCCAAAGAAACTAGAAAAATAATAGAGTGGAAATTAATGAAACAGAAGACTAACACATAAAAAAGTATCAGTTAAGTCAAAACTTACCTTTTAAAAAGTATTTATAAAATAAACTTCTGTCATCAGAGGAAGAGAGGGCACAAATAAATATTGTTAGCAGTGGATGGGAGCACATGGCTTTGGATACATTAGAGAGTGAAGAAGTAGAGAGACATTGTGAACAACATATGCCAATCAACTGGAAAGTTTGGACAACATAGCTGAATTTTTAGAAGAAAACATGACTAAGGACAGAAGGAAAAATGAGCAAAATCCCTATATACAAAAGGAAAGTTAATGAGTAATAAAGCATCTTCCTACAAAGAACATACCAGGTTAGATGAGTTTATAGGCCAATTCTACTAAACGTTCTAGAAACTGGAGAAGATAATTATAACATGTGACAAAGAATTATCTGGAATTAAAAAAAAAAAAGGTCCCATGAATCCATATGCAAGAGACCCAACCCAATGGAAATTGGACAAAAAACACAAATACAAGAAAAGAAACACAAATAATTCATAAACATACGAAAGATACTTAATATTATTAAGAATTAGGGAAGTAGAAATCAAAATCCAATGATGCACCAATTCATACTCACCAGGATGACAAATATTAGGAAGTCCTACAATAATGTCAGGTGCAGGGAAGGGTGCAGGAAATCTCTTTACCAGACATGATTATAAATTGGTACAATAACTTTGGAGATTTGATGTTACTACGTAAATTTGAACGTATTTATGTTCTCCTATTGAGGAATTCTAATTTTAGGTATATATCCTAGAGAAATTCTCATACAAGTCACCAACACACGTGCACAAGGAAAACGTGCACAGAAGCTTTGTAGTAGCAAACGGACACAAATGTTCCAATGGTAAGCAACACTCGGGTGGATTAATGGTGACAGAGGCATACAGGGCAGTAGGGTACAGCTGAGAAAATGATGAAACTAAGCTGTACCCATTGCCATGAACAGATTAGGAAAATGTTAAACCAGTGGGTTTTAAATGTTTGTTGAGTATTGGAATTATCTGGAGAGCTCATGGAGAAAACAGAAAACTTTGCTGGGTGAAGGATGGGACCTGCATTTTATCGAGTTCCCGAGGTGATGCAGATACACAACAAAGTTTGAGAACCAGTTGTGTCAAAACACAATCACAGGGGACCTGCAGGTGGTTTAGTTTGCACAAAGCTAAACAAAAATGTATAAGACAAAGTTATACATTATTTGGGCTATACACAGAACTCATCGCATGACAAAGTTAGCTGCTGGTAAGGAGGAAGGGGTAAGCATTTGGGGGGAGGGATCCAACCAAGATGCAGGGTATACTTCATTTCTTAGTTTGGCAGAAGGCACACTGATCATTTGATTATTCATACTTAATATATGTAATGTTTGTGCCTAAGATATATTTCGCAGTGTAAACTTACAAAGTCATAAAACAAAAGCAAGATTTATTTTGAGCCTGTGCACCCCAGTAGGCATCTGGGTATGACACATTATTGCTGCTACTGCAGACTTGCTGATTTTAGTGAGGGTAGTGGAGGTCACACAGTATATATATACACATTGTCTTTCTTCTGCGGCTCATCACCAGCACTCTCTGGAAGTAATGTTTAACTGGGACAAAGAGAAAGTTTGTTCTCCAGGTGGGTTGTATAAAGTGACTGTGTGGATAGCCTTCTGCATCCATAGGAAGGCCCAGAGGTTGGATGTCTTCACATGGGTCCAGAGGCTGGCCCACTGTGGAGTCTGGGTGCAGGGAGTGAGTGAACCCCTGTCTGTACTCTGTTGGTACACAGTGGTACCAACAGCACGGGAGAGAGCCTGACACAGAGCTCCTGGAATTGACAGATGGTGTAGGGTTGGAATTCTCCGAGGGGAGGGACACATCCTTGGGAGAAGAGGTGACTCTTTTCATTGCCCTCAAGGGACCCGAGGGAGTTGCTTCTGTTCTTCTGTTCTTTTACCTGCACTTCTTACATTCTCATTGCAACTATCTCTGTGTTGGACACTAAGAATAGGCCCAGAAGGATGGGGAGGCAGGGAGGAGTACACCGGAAGATGGTGTGTGTGCTTTGACCCAGAGGGGGTGGATGAGAACTGGGCCATAGAAGATGGGGTCTGCAGAGATCCTCATTGATGCAGCTAATGGGTTGGGTTGAACTGTGCCAAGTTTGTAAGGATTTCCGGGCAGGAAGAATGGAGAAAGAACAGTATAGAGACCACAGCAGCTGGGAGCAGGAGCAAAGTCCCCCACCCCATTATGTTGGGGCTGCCCTTGGCTCACTTAGCCACTCACCCCTGATTCTGCCGCAGGTTGCCAGGGAAGATGATGGGCGTGCTTTCCAGAAAGGTATTGTGTACCCTGTAAGTCAGACTCCCTACAGAGTTGCAGGGTCCCGCTTGGGGTGCAGTGTCACTGACCTACCAGGAAGTTGAGAGTGTAGGAGAGGTTCAATAAAAGAGCCTCTACAATGGCTCTGCAATCAATGAGTATGTGAGAAAAACAAAAGGTATGTGACTCCCCGTTTCCTCTCCAAGGTGTGCAGGCTCTGATTAACCCTCTTATGCATAGTTCAAATTATGTTCTTCCTGACCTCATGGTTTTTTTAGTTAAAAACAATTTCCTCCCCCAATCTTCTGTATTCCTTCTCCAAGTAGAGCTAACTGGCCCATCGTTGCCCTTTCGTACGGTCCTACATACTGTTCGATCAGAATGTGCTTTCCCTCACCCCACTGTTGGATGCTCAGGGCAGGGGACCTGTTAGCAAGGCAGCTATGAGCAGAGTGCAAACATCCTGCTCAACTATAGTCTGTGTTCTGTTTCCTGAAGCCTAGCTGGTTCTGGGCCCATCTCACCTTTGCACTTTCCCCCACCTCTGGGCTGTTGGTCCCAATCCAACAAGATTATCTTCCCTGAAATAGTCTTTGGTCTGAAATACAAAGTTTAGTAGTTTAAACCCAGATTTACTTGAATTCTTTTGAGATTAGTGCATTTCCACATCCTTGGGAACTATATCTATCGATCATTCTAAAAGGATATGACTCTCAATGTCTTACTTTCTCCTAGATCCAGCATGTTGTTTCAACTGGCCAGTCTTCATGCTTATGTCAGGTTCCTAAGAGAGTTCCTGGAACAGAGACTTTACCCCAGTTCACCCATCAACATTCTTGTTTAAGTGATTTGAACCCTCCCCATCACTAATTTCTAACCTTATTACCTCCACTTATACCAGTTCATTGTCTCAAAGCTAGAATGTGTCATCTGTAAGGAGGAAGATTTAAGACCTATTTTAAAACATGGATATTCACAGTTCAAATTTTGACTTGCAACCAACCACTGATTTAGCCATCCCTTTTGAGAGACAATAAACAAGAACTTTTCTTAACCTGACTCCACCTCTAAAACGCTTTATTTGTGTTAGTTTGTATTTTTTGTCATTCCTGTGTTGCTCCTAGCCTTGAAGCAGTTCTAATTCCTTCTTGTCTTATATCATTGTATGGCAAGCAGCCACAGGGTTTTGAAATGGAAATCTGAGTGTAGCTGCTTTGTACCTAAACTTTGCCAGAGCTCCTCACTGCCCTTAGCTGGGTCTACTCTCCCTTCCCCCACATCTGGTCCTGAACAGGAGCTTGAGGGTTGCGTCTGACCACTGCACCTTTCTGCCCGAGGCACTCACATGCCCTGCTGCCGCTCCAGGAACCCGGTGCCACAGGGTGTCACCCTCTGTCTTCAGCAGCACTGTCTTCAGCCTCTGTCTTCAGCAGCACTGCCACTGACTCAGCTCTGAACTGCCCCTTCCCTCTACATATACTTCTGAGCACTTTGCCTAACAAGTTCATCTTTCAGGTTCAGCTTCAGTGCTAATTCCTCATCGAAGCCTCGTTCTGGAAGGAGCTCCCTGTGGCCAGCTGCCTTTACTATTTCCATGCTTGAAAGTGCTCAGTGAAAATGGGATAGTAATAGGATGTACCTCCTAGAATTCCTGAAATTGTTGTGAGCACCAAATGAGATAATGTGTGTAAAGAGCTTAGCAGACATCTAACATGGAAGCACAATGGGTTTCCTGTGCCCCTAGATTTCCTTATTGCAGCACTCAGCCTATTTCATGCTACGAAAACCTTGAGCTTTACTGGGTGGGATTAGGCCTGACTCATTCAAGGCTGTGTCCCCAGTACTTAGTACAGAACAAACCACACAGGAGATGTTGGGCAGATTTTGTGCAATGAATGAGTGAATGAATGAGTGGATATATTTTCAAAATTTGTATGCGGATCTTAAAAAGCAAAGCTAATCATTAAAGAATTAAGGGAAACTCATGGCATTTTGGTCAGTTTTGTCTGAGAAAACCAGTTTTGTTTCTCTCAGGGAGATGACCCCCAACAGGAAGTTTAGCTTTTACTTCCAACTGATGCTTACCATGACATTGACAGCATGGGTTCTTCAGAGCTGGACCCTATAGAAGCTAACACACTGGTGGCTTGGCCACAGACATCTTTTTCTGGTCTTCAGGACAGCTGTTGAGTAATTCTGTGTGTATTTGAGGGTTAGCAAGTATTATTTTAAAATAACCTATTAATGAACTGTGTGACGTGGGCCCAGTCCCTTGACCCCTTTGTCTATTTAGGCTGTTGGCCATTGATACCTCCTGATGGGCCTTTTGCAGGCGCAGTTTGTGAGTCTATGGTAAGCATGGGTCTGATTATCTTCCCAGGAAATCAGCGACCCAGAGATCCTGGATCTGGTGCACAGCGCCCTTGGCAGGATGACTGTGGTCCGGCAGATCTTCCCATCTGCAAAGGACAACCAGAAATGCATGAGGAACAACCACCGCATCTCCTCCCTGCTCTGTGACCCCCAGGAAGGCTACCTCCAGATGCTGCAGGTCAGTGCTCACCTGTCAAGCTCCCTCCAGAAGGGAGTCTCACTCATGCCCTTGGCCTGCCACAGGTAACGGGCAAAGATGTGCCACAGCTTCAGCTGAGCACTGTTGCCCACCAACTTTAATTACTGGAACCCTGTCATTTGCTGAAATTGAAACCAGTCAACTGGGCAGTGCCTCTGAGCCGCATTAGCAGGCAATTATGCCTGTTGTCAGCAGACGGGCCATATGAGCTCACTGGGTGCCTCTTGTATTTAAAAGTTACATGTTCAGGGAGTAAAGACATTACTGTCTCTCAGGCTTCTGCGCTGACTACTTTGTGGGTGATGGGTTCGTCTGGCAGGATTGGAGGTGGAGCCTTCCTGTGGGGAGTCAGCATTTTGAACCTGTTTTAGGGTCTTCCCTGTAGAAAGTCAGTAATACAGACATAGCTCTTGTGAAACAACTAGGGAGTGTCTCAGCTCATCTGCTGAGTGCTAAGGTGTAGGCCAACCAGGACATTCCTGGAGTCCCAGCTGAGCGGGGGGAGGCCTGAGGGCAGGACCATGACATTCCTAGCTCTTGTACTCCATCCAACGCAACAGGTACAGAGTGCTTCCGGTTAGTGCTTCTACCACACCTGATGCCATATATGCAATCAGTGTTAGCTTCTCCTGGGGCCAGGGAGTAGGATGGTGAGTTGTGTACCTATTGTGAGAGGTCGTTTTCCCTCTGGATGTTTGAGGATAGCAATGAAACACAGTGGAGACTGCCCATTGGCAGCTCAGAATCCACTTCTCCATTAAGACTTCCATGCATAAGGAAACTTTCGCTTGATGCTTGGTGGGAGACACATAACAGAAGGAAATTTCTCCCAGTTGGGTTTGCAGAAATTACCCAGAAGTTTGTGCATGTGATATGCTTGCCATTCAGCATTTGAAACTAGTTATACCTTCTTTACCCAGCCAGGCATGACGAGTGGAAATCAGGTTTCAGGACAGAGATATGCTGTATTTACCACCTGAGTATCTGTTGCATCCCAGGACATTTTGGTATTAACCTTATCAGGAGGCACACATTTTGGGGAGGGGGATTATTAGAATCTCTGGAGTGGTCTGGGTACATGTGTAATTTGCCAAAGCGTCAAATCCATTCTATAATCTTATGTTTGGGGAGGGGGAAGGGAAACATGCCCTAAAAGATGGTAAACACTAGAAATATGTTCTTGGTTGAGGAGGGAATGTAGCAGACACAGATTTTAGCTGGAGTAATTCCCACTACCCCCATGTCCACTGCTCCCAGGAGCCACCACAACGTCTGGGGTCTTTCTAACATGGTGAAGGATTGGCCAAGAGAGCGGACCAAGGCCCCTGCAGGGCTCATGGACCTGAGAGTCCTGGGCATATGGGTCAGGGGTGGAAGGTGCTTAATGCAAGATTTTATATGTTTGGATGCTGCTGGCCTGCTCTGCATTCTTCCTTTTTTGGAGCTTGGAAGAAGAGGTCAGGACCAAGTAAATCCCCTTCACTGGGCCTCTGCATTTATCTGTGCACTCTCTACATGGATGGAAGCAGAGTGAGATGATTGACTCCAGTCAGTGTGTGCCCATCCCTGTATCCTCGCCTGGGGCAGGAGGGTGCAGGGACCCCATCACTCTCTGGGTGGTCAGACCCTAGGAGGGTCTTACTCCCAGGCGTGGTCTCCCCTTGATGGGCTTCATCCCTCTCCAGCCTTGTCCCTGCTCCATGCCACCACCACATCAATTTTTCCCAGTTCTTGCCTGGTCACTGCACTCTTTCTACTTGAGGAGAGCAGGAGGGGCCCCTTTCCACTGCACAAGTATGTGTTGTATAGGTTGTGGGTGGTGGGAGAATGGAAGTTCTTCTTATTAAGGCCTATGATTGCCTATTTTTTCACGGACTAAAATGTGGGCTCTTTGGTGGCATATTAGATACTCTAGATGCAAAGATGTGTCCAGGAGGACAGGAGAGAAAAGGAGACCAGCAGGCTGGATGAGGAATCTGGCGGAGAGCATACTAACATGGCCCACAGCTGTGAAGAGGGTAAACAAAGGCACAGCTCCGAGGTGTGTGGCTGGTTATCATCAAATATGGTAAATGCAATATCACACCTGGAACCCTGGCCACCCTACCTCCCTCTGTCTGTTCCTGCTGATACCCAGGCACTCCATCAAGAGCAAGATGGAAGAGTGACATCAGAGACATCTTGTGGTGGTGGAAGCGACAGCAGTGGTAGTAGCAGGAGTGGTGTTAGTAGTAGCAACAGTAGTAATAACAGCAGGAGTAGTAATAGCGGTGCAGTAACAGTACTGGTAGTAATAGCAGTAGCAGCAGTAATAGTAAGAGTAGCAGCAGCACAGCAGCAGCAGCTCAAGAGCCATACTGTGTGGGTTCAAATCCCAGGAACTCTAGTAACTAACGAAATATTTATTATTTACTTGTCATTTTGTGCCTCCATTTCCTGTCCCGTAAATTAGAATGTAAAGTGTCTACCCCTTAGGGACATAATAAAAATTAAGTGAGGGAATGTATAGAAAGCATTTAGAATAAGACTGACCTATTCATGTCATTACAGAGGAGGTGGTCAGGTGTGTTTGGAGTTTCCAGCAAACATGGTCTCATTTAAAAAAAGAAATTTTTTAATCTTTATTTATTTTGAGAGAGAGAGAGACAGAGCATGAGCGGGGGAGGGGCAGAGAGAGAGGGAGACACAGAATCCGAAGCAGGCTCCAGGCCCTGAGCTGTCAGCACAGAGCCCGACGCGGGGCTCAAACTCACAAACTGTGAGATCATGACCTGAGCCGAAGTCAGACACTTAAACGACTGAGCCACCCAGGCACCCCTCATTTTTTTTTTTAAATTTTGTAAGGTATAATCCACTTGTCTTCCTGAGCATGCTCTTTAAAATTTATTTATTTATTTTGTGAGAGAGAGGGAGAGAGAGAGAACCCCTGGAGGTAGGGCAGACAGAGAGGGGGACAGAGGCTCCAAAGCACTGATAGCAGAGAGACTGATGCGGGACTTGAACTCATGAACCGCGAGATCATGACTAGAGGCTAAGTCAGAAGCTTAACTGACTGAGCCACCCAGGCACCCCCCTGAGCATGCTCTGTAAGAGCAACACAGCAAGTAGGAGAGCGTTTCCTTTGGGTCTAGACCCATATCGCAGGCCTTGTGTACTGCTTTCTGTCCACACCACTCCTGCAGGCACTCAGGCAGAGCTGCCTTTTGTGGGAGAGGAGAGGCCATGTACGTCTGGGGAGACCCACTGAGCCCTTTTTACAAGACTCTGCTCATTGGAGACCCTCAGTAAGGACTGATGGGGTGGATCTGTTAATAATGCAGATCTTAACACAAGTTAAATTGTCTCTAGAAGTCTCTTTATATATATTTATATAAATGAAGAACTTTATGTAAGGAATCTCCATCTCCATTTGTTGCCTCTGCCTCGAGAAGGGGTGTGGTGAGAGGGAAATACACGGATTTACTTTACTCACCCTGCCCAACAACCATTTGGGCAGCTCCTAGATTCATCTCATTTATAAGCCATTCTCTTCGAGTTTCCCAAGTAGCTATTACCACTTCTTTATTTCTTAATGACAGTATAGAAGACAAACTAATTTCTACTAGCCTCTAGCTGTGAGATTTATCGAGAAGACTCTAACATGTTTAGAACAACTAACTCAAGAAAAAATAAAACCTTTGTGTCATGGATTATTAACTTTGTCTTGATGAAATTAATGAAGATCCTTTGGGAAGTGGAGCTCTCAAGTCCATCTTTTAGTTCTTCCCCCGGACGGCTGCTCTTGGGATGATAATTCTGAGTTAGATGTTTTCAGGAGAACCATCGAGAATGGGTAGTTTTTACAAGATCGTCCATCTCTTGGCTTCTCCACTGCACTGGTCTCAGAAACTCAATCTTCTTCTATTAGTCCTGTGGTCAGAGCTTTCTGTGCTCCAGAGCCAACCAAGCACCATTATAGCAAATCAATTTGATTCCTATTTAGTACAAAGTCCCTTGGAGGAAAAATACCAAAATAAGTGACTTGTAGTAGCTCCAAAAGCTTTGCATTTGCCGGTGTGCTGTTGTTTATTTTCCTCTACAAAGCACTGTCTCATTTGGGTATTTCTCATTCTTGTTCACTTGACAAGTTGGTTTAGAGCTTGTCTGACTCAGCCAGTAATAAAAGTGATAACCAGTCTGGAAGAACCTTGAGACTTTGCTAAGATTTCACGGGCAGCCTTGCTGAGAGGAGAATCTGTAAAGCACTCGGTCTTCAGAACTGCCCTGTCCGGTGACTTCAGGGCTGCAACAGACATATTGTCACATTGTCATGTCATTTCTATTCAAATGGGCTTCCAAAGGGGGACAGACAACTGATAGAAGTTGTGTTGTCTGGTCACCATGGAGCCTGATCCTTGAATTAAGCTGTGGGGGCTAATGTGGTATTATTATAAAATGCTCCCTCGGGTTGGAATTTCTCCTCTTTGTGAATTCTAAATTGTTGAATGGCTTGATAGATGGAATAATTCTTCCCTTGCTCAGTCTACTAAAACATGTGGAAACCCCCCCTTCCCACATGCCCCTATTTCGTTAGGGCTTTCTGTATTCTTCTCTGGCTACAAGTTGTTTGTCAGCCTGCCAGTAGAATCCTTTTCTGTGGAGTAGCAGCGGGCCACCCGCTATCTTGGACTTTATGTCACTTTCACTGGTTTCCTTTTTTACCCTAAACACCCAGTGGAATATGTAGCAACAGTCATGAAGCATAACGGGAGCATGACGGGGCACGATCCTCAATGCCTTTGTCAGAGACAATTGCGCAGGTGGTCTCTCTGGCTGCAGTCGGTTGCTGTTCTGGCCACAGATGTCCACATGCACATTTGGAGGCCAGAGAGCCTCAGGTACGGACAAATGCCCTTCCCCACTCTGCCTTCCATCCCCTTGGATTCACCGATGAGCAGAGAGCCCCAGCTCCTTTGCCCTCTGCCACCATCTGCTCCCTC